TAGTACTTAATATATCTAGTTTAGTAGAAGAGTTAGATAGCAGACTTGATGGGTTGACGCTGGGGGCTGCGAGGACGCTACGGGCGAGGACGCTGCGGGCTGCGAGGACGCGTTCGTGATAGCTAGGTATGTCGATACTAGGTGGAAAAGATGCGCAAGAGCTTATAGATTTAAATCTAATAATTGTTAGTAATAGAACACGTTGTTGTGGCTTAGGAGTTTAGCGTGGCGCTACCTGTTAGCGCGTCGCCCATCGCCAGAGTGTCTGACTAGTGAGATAAGGAAAACAAGCAGTCTCGGTGGTGCGGCAGTTGAGGCAGTCAGAACAAAGGTAGCAGATATTGCAGCCGCTCAGAGGGCAAATGGACATGTTATAAGCTTGTGGAAGCAGGCTATGGCGAAGGTCTCCGCTTTTATAATGTACATGCAGGCGCGAAGCACATTGTCACCAACAGAACCGCTGCTAACTCGTACCCCGCAAGATAGTACCCAGCTCAATCGCGCGTATCATCTCACATCCCGGTAGTACAGTCTGCCGATGCTATTCTGATGAGGATAAGGTACTATTAAATTTCGTCCGCTTTTCTTTTGGTGCTCTCTACGCTTTCGTGGGTACTTGACGTTGAGACGGTCTTGGATGCACCTGCTGTTGCGACGGCATGACCGACTGTGTGGAGGCGAACGGGACTGGCCTTTTCGCATGCTCTTCTATACCCTTCTCTCCAAGCTCCCAGTGCAACGCCTCGGCAGCCTTCGCGGGTATGCCCATTATTGCAGCAATCTCTTTCCACATTTCAAGACTATGACTAGCACAACAGTTAGTATCGTTCTCGAGTACATGTTTAGAGATGCTTCCCATACAAAACTAGCATGCGGTGCTAGGGTACGTTGAAAGCCAAAGACATAGGATCAAAGTAAATGAATGACGGAACTTGAAGCAGTCTAGAAACGCGATGGTCTAGTGTAACATACCTAATGTAGAATCTTGCCAACTTGTCTCTTACCTCCTCGCCATAAACATGTGGTTTCTCGAGGTAGTTTTGGTACCGTAGTCGGCAGCCAATACTGCTTCTTCCAGGTAATTCTTTTACAATTTCACTCCATTTTTTCCTCTCGCTCCGCAACCTGATAATCAAATCATCATCCTTTTGTGTCCATTTGAGTGGTTTATTGGCTACGCTTTGATCGGGTAGCGGAGTTTGAGGAGCTTGAAAAGCCTGTCTGTGAAGCGTTGAACATGGCGAGTGATTGGTAAACTGCGAGTGTCGAGGCGGCGGAGGCCCATATGCGCCAAAGTAGGGTAAGGGCATCGGGGAAGTCTGCGCGGCTTCATTAACTTTTGGAATAGAGCTTCCCATACCGCTAGGTGGCTCTGGGTCCGAATTGATCATGAAGCTGATTTTCATGGTGAAGGTGAAGGACTGGATTCAAGCCAGCCCGCAAAACGATATAGGGTTTCTGATTTCGGATCGTCGCCACAATTGGAAACAATCGAAGGAGAAAAGAATCGTTACTGGTACGAAGCCAGGCTTTCTCTGGATAGTCAAATAAGCCTCCTTTATAAGCGATGATGTTTCGTAGTGAATGTACCAAGTAGTCCTTAGCTTCGGCTTGGGAGGTTCCTGCGCTCGCTCAATCGCTTCCACACACGTGCCATAGACCGCGCCATTGCTCAGTTAGCCGGCAACCCACTTGGAACCCTCTTGTTCCTCCACACGCTCTGGCGGTTCGCAGCCACTTATGCGCGCGAGTCATACAACGCCGAACGGCTGGGACGATGCACAATGACCCCCAAAACTTGCAGCTACAGTAGAATCACTTTCCCATACATCTGTATACTATCATTCCCACGTCATGTCAGTACCCTTTGCAGGGTAGCAGCTGTCTAGATCTTGCTACTTCAGGCCATATTTTTACGACGGACATTGCGCTGAACAGTGACTTGCACCTGCTGAAAAAGTAACGCGAGTGAGCGACGTGGCGGCTAATACGTTTTGCATGAACAGCCAGCGCACGGGGGCTACTCAAAACGCCACATAACTAAATAGGAAGCGCCATGGAGCGATCGAAAGCGAAGGTCGTAACTGATGACCTGCACGGCCCGTGCCAGGGCGGCAGACCAAAGACATCTGTGTCCGTATCTCATCCCGCGTCCCGCCTGATGACCCCCTCGATTACTTTGCATGTTTCGAGCTACTGCATCTACCCCACTCCATTATACGCCATATGTGGGATCTAGCCGACAACATACCATATGGCGCGAACGACTTTCCTAAAGAAAGTCAGTCCTGGAAGAAAGAGGTGGGAGATGGTGCAACTGACTGTCTGTCGGATCCTTGTTTGCTTTCATTATGCCGTGGTTGCATGAGTATGAGGTCAGGGGCTGGGAAGATAGGGGTGTCAAAAACAGGCACTTCATCCTGACCCGAGTGGCTATCACCTTGCGTTGGAACAGAATGCGTGCATACATTCGATTCATATGTGCCATCGGATTTATATCTCCGGTGCGTTCCTCAAGACTATGTCTGCCATGCAACCTTGCTTCCAAAGTCAAATCAGTAACGACTAAACTCTTATGTCTGCTCATGAGAAAGGATTCATATTGTCTTTTCACACCTCTTGATCATTGTATCATATGATCTAACTCTCTCTTTGTCCATTCTTTTTTTGAAAGAAGAAGAAAGACTTGCAGGATTGCTATCACCATAAACGTGCAACTCACGGCAAATCCACTACAGCTCGAGATGCTGTCTACGACTACCACGATCGGTAACTCCCATGAGCCCGGAGTCGTTATTCACGGTTTTGAGCCTAGCCATAATCTTACATCAGTCACCAAGTCAAACTCCACCCTCCCCCTCAGCGGGCGACTGAGCTCCGTCTGTAAGACTGATGACAGCAAGAACTGCGACATCATTGCAGAACAAGAAAAGTGCCTGCAACACCCCATGGCATGTGCATCCAATACCAATAGGATTCTATTCAAAAATGGCAGCCCCTATCACTTCCAGAGAAACACTTTGGAGAGAGAGGGTACCATTGAAACCGACAAGAACGAGATAGACGAGAGCGCTATCGAAGGGGACTCCGACCCTGAAATTTGGGAAGAATTTGAAGGAGAAGAAGAGAGCGGCCCTTTATTCCAGCGCGTCAACTCCGAGCCCAACTTCACCTCGCGCAAATCGCTCCTCACCTCCGCCCTGCACCAGTATGGCCCCACATCAGCTCTCCAGAACGCTGCATCACGCTCCTCGCCTGCTATCTACCGCTCCTGCGTACGGCTGCCCATTACTCCATCTACCGACAGCTCGCCCCAAGAGAACAGTGGCCTCACGATGAAGCCGACCCAGGCCTCTCGTTCCAAACCCGTTATCATGCCCACCTATCACTTCCATCGACCTATGTCGCCCAAGACGACGAGACGCAACATGTTAAATTCTGAGCTCACCGGAAGCCTTCGGCAGAACCTTTTGCGGGAGAGGCGGCAGAAGAATGTTACTACCATTGCAGTAGCCAAGCGGCAACAGAACGCAGCTAACCCGCCCATCCTTTACCGGACTATGACTACGGGTGATCTCGAGGGCCTTCAAAACAAAACAAACCAACCCAGAACTGGTAGCTTCAAGGAAACCAATCTCACCGGTCACCACGACAATTTCGCCTTTGCATCTTGCAACTACAACAGTTCTGGCTGGTAGTACAGCATCATCACCTCTTTTCCCAATCTATTCGCCATCTACGATTTGGCATCAAATTCTAGTATTTTTTGTGCAGTTATCCAAGTATTATTCCATTTGTTGTTTCTTTTTCGTCGCTCTACATTTAGTTCTTTGCAATATACTTCTTTGAAGAGCCGCCAGTTAATCAGGGATAGTTCTTGCTTTGCTACAAAGTTAGTGGGTGATGCTTAAGGTAGTAAAGAAAATTGTCGCATCCATAGCAAAACCATCTCTTATCATTGCAATTCGAGTACATGTTAGCCACGCGTAACCTGTAACTATGTCTTCGCATTTTAACCCTATCTAATCGTACTAAGGGGGGTGATAATACTTCTGCCGGCTCTCATTTTCTTCAGCCATTAGAAGACTGACCTGGTGCAGTTTTTCGCTTTCTTATGCTAGCTTTATCTATTTTTTCTAATGGTTGCGTATTATCTTTGAAATTGTGAAGATGGGACCAGATTCCTGGTGACCAAAGCTCACACGTGCACTATTCAGTCTCCATCATCCTTGTTTGTGCCGTGCGATACTGTCTCCTTCCACCTCACCATTCTCCATGGCTGAACTTGTTGCCTTGTATTTTCCCTCAATTCCATTTCCACTAACGGCCACGCCCCCATTCTCACTCTCATTTCCTTTAGTATCATTCGTCCCTCCCTACTTTGGCAAATGCCCCGCTGTCTGCATATTCCACAGTTTTGTATACTCGCCTCCTTCATTCTGTAGTAGCTCTTGGTGTGTGCCTCTTTCAACAATCTCGCCCTTATTCACCACCAAGATTTGATCTGCGTGTACAATCGTGCTCAATCTGTGGGCGATTACAAACGTTGTTCGACCTTGCGTTAGTTTTCGTAAAGCTTCCTGAATGAGTGCTTCGGTAGAAGAGTCAATTGCTGATGTTGCTTCGTCCAGCAATACGATTTTAGGGTTCTTGAGGAGCACGCGGGCAATGGCTATGCGTTGGAGTTGACCGCCCGACAACCGTACCCCGCGCTCACCCACTTTGGAGTTGTAACCATCTGGGAAGCTGACGATGTCATCGTGAATGGCAGCAGCGCGGCATGCATCTTCGACTTCGGCGTCGGTGGCATCGAGTTTAGGGTAGCGGATGTTTTGTCGTATGCTTTGATTAAACAAAACAGGATCTTGAGGTACGACGCCCATGGCATCTCGTAGACTATGTTGTGTCACTGAGCGCAGGTCTTGGTCATCAATCATTATCGAACCACTCG